AATATATAAGATATGATATGAGAATATGGAAGAGGATGAAGTCCACTGAAAAAAAAATAATCTGACTTTAATCTCTACGCTATAGAGTCTGTATCGTATTAGGGCTATCGAGTTCTGAGGTACAAGTCTGCCAAAATCTTAGAAATTTTTATATTAATCTCAGAAATTTTCTAGAAAAAAACCTTGGAATTTTTGAGTTTCAAAAGATGAACAACACAAAAATTTAACATGAATCTCATAAATTTTTCAGAAAACGTGAAAATTCCTGGGCCTTTCTTCTATCACATTGTAAACAGAAGTACGCAGTCCCCAAAGAAACAAGGCAAACCTGTCTGCGCTCATGTGAATTAAATGAATGATTTGCTTCAGGGACTTTTTGCAGTTGAGTCATTTGATGAATCCTCACATCTCCAACTTTATAGTACATTTAAAACAACTTACTTTGATCAAAGTGCAGTTTCAGAAAAAAAAGACCTGAGAAAGAGGCTTTGCTTTACGGGACGAAATGTGAAAAGTATCATTGAAACCATGGAAACTGAATGTGGCCAAATGCAGTACCTTGAGGTATAACTGCTTATTGAGAAGAAGGTTTGCCTCAATAAACAGAACATTTCTTTATCCTGAGCACAATAGGAGCTATTTAAGTGTAATTCAAGTGAAACAGTGAATGGGAAAAACCCACAGCAGCAGATTTACATTAGTCAGCATCTACAAATAAAATGTGAACAATTTTTACAATGTTTTCCCACCTGATAGATGCAGTCTGAAAAAATTACATTTCTAACATTTTCAGCTCCTTAAAATGTTAACAAAAATGGAATAGCGTCAGATTTTAGATTTTTCTTTGCTAAAAAAACAAAACAAAAAAAAAAACGCGTCATTTCTCCTGCTAGCGCGTTTCTTTTGGTTGTATTTACCCAGAATGCCCTGCGCTGCAGTCCACTTCCTGCTTTTGGAGCGGTATCCGGTCAGTTCGGTGATCGCATATTCAAACCGCAACAGAGTTCATTTCAACCAGACCGTTTGTAGGCAGCATGAATGGCCTTCAAACACTTCAAAATAAGAGCATGAGCATAAAAGTCTATCTACTTGAAGAACTCAGAACCAAAACTTCAACACAGAAATCAAACTTTATTCAACTGAAAATTTACAGTCGAGCAAATTAGCGGTTAAAGTTCTATATAGAGCTTTCACCGCTAATTTAACGCTTACCTTTAAGAAAAGGTAAGCGTGCTAAACGATTTCAAAGTTTCAAAAGTGCTAAATTAAAAATTAGCTCTGTTATTAGTACATTAGTGGAAATATGCCCACCTTAGCTGTTAGGTCATGTGGTTAAATGGACGGATGATTATTTTCACTGGATTTGAATCTTCCAGATTTTTTTCTTTTTCTGACATTTCATTATAATCGTTTCTTTATCCGAGCGGTTCTCTGTGGATCAGGTCTTGTTGCGTTTGGACTCTAGTTGCAGGTGTTTTTGAGGGTCAGGTCACCCTTGGTGATCTGAATGGTGACGGTGGTTCCATTAACACCAAACGCCGTCCACGTCCGGTCTCCAAACGCCTCCAGCTGATCCTCACTCACCGAGACCGAACAGTTGACTGATGAGGTCACTTCTCTTGGATCTAAGCACATTCAGACAGCAGATTTAAAGGAATCTGACCACAAAGAAACCTGCTCCCGTGATTATTCAATACAAATTAATACAAAAACTGTAGAAAGTTCCCAAAAATGTGCACTGTTATTTTTCCCCATCACTGTCTGGAGGACAAGAACGATAGCTTTGATTTTGGGCTTCCTGAAGTTCAAAGGCCAAACATGACTAAACTTTGAGCGGAAACAACAGCTTGAAACTAAAACTAAACTAAGTATAGAAGGAAATCGGCCTAGTTCATACCCTTACAGTCTACCTGTATACTTTCTATACAGGGTACAAAAGGGTATTTTTGGGGTCCTTATGAGATACTTTGAGAGTATTTTCAGTTTACTTGCGAAGATCTTACATGGTACCTAAAAAGTACTTGTAAAACTCAAGGAGTAGTTCCTGGGTAACTGCAAGTCACTTTCAGGGAATGCACATGGTATTTATAGTGTACTTACCTGGTACCTACAAGGTTCTTACTGGGGACTTAAGTGATTACCTGCATCTATTGGGAACTTGCAGGGTACGTATGAGGTATTTAGGGAGTGCTTTGGCGCTCCACTAAGGCAACTTACAGGGTACATACAGGTTACCTATGGCATGAGATTTACTTATAGGACAACTATGCTTTTCAGGGTGTCAACAGAATACTGATAGAGTAAATAAGGGAAACCAGTCCCTCCAGTTTTTTGTGATTCTGTGATTGCGGAAATTCATGTAAATTCAATAATCTATAGGAATCAGATTGTTGTTTTTCAGGTACTTATAATGCAAAGGACAAGCAGAACTCAGTAGTGAAAACCAAACACCTAACTTGGCATCATGCTAATCTGATGACAAACGTGACACACTACTATGTCTCAGTGATGTCTTTCTGTCCACTGATCAATGGACTGTGTTGTGTAATTCCAGTAGCTTCATGCTAACCATACCGTACCCTTGTCCTGTGGACCTACGACTGAAGGGAGGACAGGAATGGTGTCGTTTGGGTCGGTTGTTTGTGCCAGTTTAACAATGGAAACAGAAAAATAGCTCCCAACTGTACCACTGAGAGGAACTGGCATATACAATGAGCCCCAAACTGTTCCTTACGATTTGCTGCTCATATTTCCTTCCTCTAACAGCAGACATACCGACTACAAACACCAGCTGCTGGTTGCTGTACTCAGAGCGGATGGAGAGAAGTTTGTTGGGGTAGTAGGTGCAGGTGAGGTTGAGAGGAAGCAGAAGGGTGGGCTTCTGAAACCTGGTGAGCTCTCCGAAGGTTATGTTACTGCTGCAGGGTGCCTCATTCAACCAATACTCCTCTGTGTAGAATCTGCAGTAAGAGACGGGGAACACCGGAGGTGTACAGGTGGCCTCGATGATGTCATCAGGTGACACAAAGCGACGGCTGATGGACAGACTGGGACTGGGTCTGGTACCTGTATGGTAGAGAGTGTTTTTATGTACTTTCATAGACAGGGGTACTTTCTAGACCCTTTATAGGCTGATCAACTCTCACCCCAGACAGTCACAAGCATGTCATCGCTGGAGATGGAGGTGTACTCCTGGAGCCTGTAGTCACACCTGAGTCTGAGCGTGCTGCCTACCATGTAGTGTCCCAGCAGCTCCTTCGACGTCAGATTGAAAACACACACATAACTCATTGCTACAATCACGCTGAAGGGATGATTAGAGTCTTCTCTGAAGAGACGGCAGAGCCCGCCTGTGTAGTCAATGGGAACAAAGCAGCTGATTTCCACCGTTTCTCCGTCGGTGATTTCATTGCTCCCCAGGATCTTAGGTTTGTCTGCAGAGTAGAGGCATAAGCTACTTTAAATCACATGAAATCGCTACTGTAATCTATCAAAGCTTAACATGAAGTTCCTGAATTTTCTATTGAGTCAGAAGTTTAATGTGTAGTTCTCAGGACTTTAGATGTGTTTAACATCAACTCTGAACCCTTTAAAGGATTTAGTTTGATTAAAATTATCAATCAAACTCATGTCTACCTAATAATGATTAAACTGAACAAACAAAAATCTAACAAAATCCACAGCTTTGGCCTACTCCATAACAAAAGGCTGAAGGGGGAGTTTCATGACAAGGTTAGCTACAAAGTATGTTCAAAAGGAACTTAGAAGACACACAGTGCCTACTGGGTTCTTTCTGGGACCTGAAGGGTTACTTAAAGGGCATCAAATGCCTCACTGGTGAGAATCGGATCATTATTGTCCGGTGTATTCAGGAGAGCGTTTCCACCACCAGTTGGACTTTCACTGGGCAGGCGGGTGAAACCCAAACGCCTAACCTGGTGCCATGCTAGAGCAACAACAAACATCTTCATGCTTCATGTTTTCTGATCCCCAGTCAACAGACCAAGTTGTGCCGCTCTAACCATACATTACCATATTATTTTTCTCTTCTTTGGTTTTGCATTTTATTTTGACCCTTCAAAATAAAATGCCTAGTTTACACAATACCTGATGTAAGAAATTGGATTAGGTTTTTTTTATGAAAGAAAACCCTTTGAATATTTTTACTTCAATGGAGCGTTCCCATTTTTATAGATAATTACATCTAGAAAGCCCATAAGTTATTAAGAGCCAAGGTGTGAATAAATAACTTTTAGACTTTTTCACCAGTGTTTTAGCTCCTAAATCAGGCTTTATCATTTCTTGAACTATTTTGTTCAAAGTAAAAGTGACTCACCTGACCAAACATACCTGCCGTCTGCTGTCCAATCTGTCAACAAATCAGAGGCAAACTGGATTCAGTGAAGGTCACTTTGATTTCAAACTCAAACAAAATCCTTCATTTTAGTTCTCTAATGTATTTAATATCAGAAACTGTGATGTCTTGTTGTCTTATTAGTGAAATTATTAACATTGTTAGATCATCACAAAACAGCTAAAAGTTCCTCTCATTATGAGTTGATGTGTTGCTGATGGAAAGCAAAGAAAATATTTACTCACAGCAGAGAGACAAGGTGACGAACAGAACCAGATCCATCCTTGGACTTCCGAGGGACGAACTCATCCAAATCCTGCTGGAGTTCAGCTCTGATTACACATTAACTCTTCCTTTATTTAGCAAAGGGTCCAGTCCAAAGTCATTGTCACTGATACCTCTGTGATTTTTTTTTTGTTTGCATTTCTGTCAACTGTTTGTTGTCCCCAAGCAGCTTGACTTTCTTGAAATATCTTTAATTAACAGTTTTTATTTAGACTTTTCACAAATTTTTGCTCCTGATTTAGATTTTCCACAGGATAACAGATATTCTCCTGCAGTTTCCACATGTGACCACATGGGGGCAGCAGCTCACACTCACTGTGTTCTGATCCTGTTTGGCTCATAAAAGATGTTCGGCTGCACACTGGATCCAAGCCGATCCTGGACTGAAGGAAGCCCCCCGTGGAGAGAAACCAGTTCTAGTTTTAACAATCAGCCCTGAAAATTACAGATTAAAACAAAGGAAACAGAAGAACAGGCAAAAAATCTATATATAACTTATTATCATCTATTTGGTCAGGAATTCTGATCAGACTGAAAATTAGAAAGGAATCTGAAAAACTTGGGACAACATATGCCACATGGATGGATGGATGGATGGATGGATGGATGGATGGATGGATGGATGGATGGATGGATGGATGGATGGATGGATGGATGGATGGATGACCTTTATTTTTTCATTGGTTCAGATGAAATCTGTGTTTCTATTCCTTCCTTTATTAAGTTCTAATAATCAACCAAACATCTTGATTGATTATTACTACTGTTCTGTACTACTGTCAGCAGTACAGAATATCTGTACTGCTGACAGAAAGATGCTGCAGCTTCTACGGGAGCCTGTTTGTGCCAAAAAGCTGCTCAGGGTCCTGAGACCGTGAGCATCACTTTTCCATTTTAAGATAAATTTTCTGCTTTTCTTCTCACTTTGTTTTGGTGATCTTTGTGCTGTGGATCCGTGACATAAACGCTAAGAATTTATTTAAGTTTTTAGTGTCACATATAAATTAATAAAATCTAACCTAAGTTCACCAGCAACAAAACAAACATACGTAAAAAACACATTCAGTCAAACTGATTCTACAATTTTTACAAAAAAACCAAACAGTTTTTACATGAATGTAACAGGTGAAAACATGAATTTGGGTCGTTATGCTGTAAATAAACTGGGAATCCAGAAAACAAAAATACAATTTAGAAAACTTTTCTACATATATTTTGTGCCAATGATTTAAGATCGAGTTTTATCTGTATTGTTTTCCAGCTTCACAATGTAATGCCACAAACTCTTTATTTCTGCTTTAAATAAATGGAAACTGCAAAGAAAAAAGTAATTTTCTGAATCTTCAAACCAAAAAGGTTAAAAATCAGTTTTTAAAAGTCTTAAAATGTCCTAAATTACATGCAGTAACATGAAATCACAAGCATCTCTAAGGCAGACGGTTTCCACTCAAATCTACAACAAACTGCATTTTTTTTGTCTTTAGCCGTTTATTTTACTACAATAAAACACATTATAATTACTAGTTATTGTTTGGGTTTTTATTACCAATGGAAAACATAACTGGGCCTGATAGGAAATTGATACTTTTTACCATTTATTTACTGATGTTTCTGCTGTTTTCTATACTTACACAAGTTGTGATTTCCTGTTGAAAATGTTTCCAGACAAGGTGCAAGAGGCTTTCGCAGCTGACTACAAAGATACGTGACATCCTGTGTGAATGTCAATCGCAGCTTTCTTAAAGAGTTGGCATATTTGGAAGACATTGTCCTGCACTTGCCTGTGCTGTTGAATTACCACCATGACGACACGCCTATGGTTAGAAGTGAATAAATATTGAAGGGCTGAGCCCCCGTTGGAGTTGGCTCATCTGACACGCCTTTCTGCAGGAAGACAAGTTTTTGTGTCCTTGTGATTCTTTCAGAGCTTATTTGAAGAACAAACCTAACAGGGCCAAATAACGCAATAATAAGCTTCATATTAATCACCAAAAATGTATGAAATTAAATTTCATAACTATCAGAACTGCTTTCTGGGTGAAATAAAACCTTAAAAATAGTGAAAATGTCCAATTATGTGAACAATTTCATTATTAAATTAATATATTAACTTAAATTTATAGATTTCATTAAAAGAAAGAAAATACATCAATTAATAATTTCCACCCTATGTCTTTTTATTTTTATAGATAAAAAATGTGATAACTTATAAAAAATATTGTGAAATTAAAATTTACCCACACAGATAAGAAATATCTATTAATTTAAACCTCAATTTTTATTATTATTTTTAAAAACTTTCTATCTTATTTTAAAACAAATGTTTTTTTATTTATATTTTAAGATTTTTAACCAACGTCTTTTCTTATTTGTACTCGTTAGTTCCTGAATGGTGTAAAATGGCTAAAAAGTTGATATTTTGGATGTATTTCCTCTATTTATGTGATTCAAACAGGAAACAGCCAGAGATCCCAGACTTGTGATGGAGAATTAGGGCCAGAATAAGTGACTTTCATTATTACTGTTATTATTACAAGAATAAAGTCATAATATTAGCAGAATAAAGACACAAAAATACCAGAAAAAATATAAAATTACTAGAAAAAGTTATTTAATGAGAGCAAAGCTTCAGCAGCTCGTCTGGTCTGTGACTGTTTCTTCAAATTAATCACTTAATCTCTTCAAAGTCTTGCTATTTTGATGCTGATGTGTTAACAGATTAAGTTTTTCCTATGTCTAATATTCCTCTTTTTAAAATTATTTTTCATGTACGAGTTATCAAATTACCCCAGTCTACAAATATTATAACAGTTTTTGGTAATTATGAGTTTATTCTCATATTATTGTGGCTTTATTTTTGTAAGAATTTTTTCTTGCAATAATATGACTTTTTATGTATTATTATGACTTTATTCTCATATTATTACGACTTTTTTTTCTTGGATTGCTACGACTGTATTCTCATATGACTTTGTGTCGTACAAACTTTTTTCTTGAAATGAGTTTATTTTAGTACTATTGACTTGGTGTATGACTTTTTTTTCAGTAATATTAATTTATTCTCGTTTTTTTTTTTTTTTAACTGTATTCTCGTAATTTTTTTCCCCAGCCTGGCCCTGATACTCCGTCATAGATTTCACACCCAGGATCCAGATTATGGTGTTTCTTTAAGTGCAGTGGATGAGGAGAGACATTTTAAATAATTGGCAGTAGTGTATTTAAGTGCTACAAGTTCTAGTTGGTCTAGAAAGGTGAGAATAAAGTCTGGTTAAAGAAAAAACCCGTTTCCCTTCTAGAGCTGGTCTAAACCTTCCTAGTGCTTCCAGTATCCCGTCGCCTTCTCTGCAGGAAAATGTTCTGTTTCATCAACAGCACCAGTTCACATTGGACTGGAGTCCGAAGTTACGCCGGACGGATATTAAGAGCTACATGCAGAGTGGATTTCAGGGTTTCATCAGTTTGGAGAGTCTCCATTAGTCCAAAGACTTTCGATCCAATAAAAGACATGAAGAATCACGAGTCTGATCCGTCCACGTCTCTGTTTATGACGACGAGGTGAGGTTCCCGGACGACACCACCGTCGTCTCCTTGGGTGAGTACTCCGCCTCCTCCTTGTTGGGGTGTGAGGAGTTATCGGACTTGCTGCGGCTGAACTCCGCGCCCATGATCGGCCCCGTGAACTTGGATTTGGGCCGGATCCAGGCGGTGCAGCAGAGCAGCGTCTTGAGGAAGGCCCGGCGCATCTCGTTACTGGTCAGCGTGTAGATGAGCGGGTTCATGGCGGAGTTCAGGACGGCGAGCGCCAGGAACCACTCGGCCTTGTAGAGGATGGGGCAGGTCAGGGTCTCACACGCCACATCCAGCAGCAGCAGGACGAACAGCGGCGCCCAGCAGGCGATGAAGCAGCTCAGGACGATGATGACGGTCTTCAGGAGCGCCATCGACTTCTCCGAGCTCTTGTTGTTGGCGCTGGCGCTGCCTCGGCCGTTGGTGACTTTGCGAAAGACTAGTTTGCGGCTGCGGGTGCGCACCAGTGCGTAGATCCGGGCGTAGAGAACCACAATGGCCAAGAGGATGATGCTGAAGACGGTGGTGCAGAACAGGATGTAGGTCTTATGGTACAACGGCAGCACGGTGGAGCACTGCGGCAAGCTCCGGATGCAGTTCCAGCCCATCACCGGCAGTCCGCCCAGGACCGCCGCGATCATCCACACGGTGCTGATCAGCAGGAAGACCCGGAACGTGTTCCCGTTGTTGTGCAGCTTCATTTTCAGCATGGTGAGGTGGCGCTCGATGGCGATGGCCAACAGACTGAAGACGGAGGCCGCCAGTGCCACGAACATGCTGCCCTCCCTGAAGAACCACTGTGTCGGCGTCAGTTTGTAGGTGTTGGCGCCGGACAGCAGGATGTTGGCGGTGTAGACGACGCCGGCCAGCAGGTCGGACAACGCCAGGTTCCCGATGAAGTAGTACATTGGTTTGTGGAACTTCTTGGTTCTCCAGATGGTGGTCAGGACCAGGATGTTCTCCATGATGATGAAGCAGCAGACAATGATGAAGATCACCGAGTCTGCCTTCAGACCCGAGTCCTGCTGCTGGGTCGACTTGCGGAACTTGCCGGTGTAGTTGTAATGTTTGGCGATCAGGTCGGAATAACTGGACTCGGCCATGGCCTGCAGCTGCAGCCGGAGTCCAGCAGGGGGTGCTGTGTCCTCAAACCTTCAGTCCTTCATGTCATTTGGTCGCCTTGAGAAGGAGCAGCGCGTTTTCTGCTGCTGGAGGAGGTCATGGTCCTGCAGAAAGAGCCGATCAATGCATCAATAATCGATCTCAGATAGAACAGATTCATCTTATACATGGAAATATAACTAAACCGATGAAATCTGACCCTGTCATTACAAAAACATCAAATTCAGCTACAGATATTCCAGTTTATAACACTTTAATGTGCGCTCCAATTCAGTTAGTACTTATAATTTCTAGAAAAATAGTGAAATCCGGAGAACTGCGTGAATTTATGTAAAATTTAGAAAAATCCGTCACTCAAACAGCCGCGGCGTCCTGTGGAGTTAATTAAAGCTCATTAAAAACCTCACTGGAGATTTAGGAAGTTGAAATCCGTCCAGTTACCGCTGAAAACATCCCAAACAAACAGTTTAAATTTATGGTGACTTCATTGTTTAGTTTGGCATTTTAGACGACAGCTTGAAAATGTTCAAACTTTAAAGGGAACGCATCACATTTCCTTTAAAGTTCTCATTATGACAAGGAAAGCAACGTAAACATCTTTTTAAAAGTTTTAAAACGCAAAACAATAATCATAATCCACTAGTTTATCACTATTTCTCATTTTTTAATGAATAAATAGTTAAAGAAAGAGAAAGCTGATCGTATTTTATATCATATGTCTGTTTATTGTTTTTGATATTTTAAAGTCTCGATTAAAAAAAAATCAAATTGATTAAAACAAGATATTTCACTTTCAAAGCCTCCTATGAATTTTTACATTTCAGTCCATCCAGCGACAAAAACACTAAAATGGTTTCATGTGTAAACTCTGATAACTGGAGCCTCCGCGTCTACGGGCTTTGTTCTGCATTTAATAATGCACTAAAACCAAATCAAAGGTTTTAGATTCAAGTTGCAAAACCTAAAAATAAAAGCATCACCGTATATTTCTCTTATCCAGACTTTAATCACCATATAAAGTTTATTTTCCAGATATTTTCCGTCTCTCTTGATGCGACTTCATCGCACATTTACATTTCCCAGACTTTTTATGCTCCATTATAATGAGACTTATTTAATAAAACTGACCTGGATTGAGCAGATCCTCCACACAGACCATGGCGCGACTCCCAGATTTCCTTTTTATTTCCCAAGAAAAGAGGAAGCAAAACCGGCGAGTTTCTGCAGAAGCTTCGCATCGACACTCCGACCGCCGAGCTGCTGCAAAACCTGTGATGTTTAAAATCTTATTTCATATTTTCTGTCTTCAGTCAGAGTCCGGAGCAAGAAGAGTCCAACAGCGGAGTGAGGGAGTACACACACACACACACACACACACACACACACACACACACACACAGGAGGGGGAGGAAGATGATGCCGCCCTCTTCATGCTCTTCGGGTCTTCTGCTCTTCAAATCTCACCGATCACATATTAATAATACTAATAAGGATAATAGTAGGAAGAATAATGGGGGAAAACCCAGAAGTAGCTTAAAAGCAGAAGCATAGACACATATGTAACTTCAATAAAATCAATGCTTCCTGTTGAAAATAAAATAAAACATATAGTTTTATTTATACTTCTTATTTTGGCTTTGTAGAAATTATGATAGAAATAAAATCTATTTAGTCAGATACAATCTCAATATTATCTACTCTGTGATGTTAACTGAAAAATCTCACAATCATTATGTGTTTTTCCCTGCGATTAATCTATGTTGTTTATTTACCATATTCTGTTAATTTCTTTGTCCATGATTGATACAAAGAAATTGTTCAATCCTGTTTCTTGAATGTTTCCATTTATTTTCTTCAATTATTGCCACACTTTATTTGGTTTCTACATCTTTTGAGTGTCAGTGTGTTTTCAGACCTGATAGTCCGGTATAACCTGATTGGGGACCAAAACTGCACCATTTGTTACATTTTCAGCTGCTGCGGTTCCCTTTCACACTACACTGAATTAAAGGAACCAAACCCTTTGATTAACCTGTTCCCCTCCTCGCCTGTGGGGGCGCTGCACCATGAACCACTGAAAGAAAAGAAACAAAAACCTCAGAAGACACTGAGAGCAACTTCCTTCTTCACCAAAGTAAACAAAAGCGGTGTAGCATCAGAGTTTAGCCGTCATTTGTCTTTGGCAAAAGTCAACGAACCATTTCACGCGCTAGGCTAGCACGTTTGTTTTGGTTGTATTTACCCAGATGTAAATGACTCATGGCCTTTTGACAAAGACAACGAACCGCTAAAATCTGACACCGCTTCATTTTTGTTTGGATTTTGTTAAGAAGGAAGTTGCACTCAGTGTCTTCTTCAGAGGTTTTCATGTTGTGTCGTTCATTAGTTTTTGGAGCAGCGCCCCCACAGGCGAGGAGGGGAACAGGATTGTCAAAAGGTGTAGCTCATTTGACACAGTGTAATGTGAAAGCAGCTGAAAATGGAAGAAATGTTGCAATTTTAGTCCCAACTGAATCAAATCTACCAAACTGTCAGGTTTATAAAAACACCCTTTGTTTTCAATTAAAATGCAACTGATTAATTAATTATAATTGTAATTGAGTCCCACTAATAATAAAATCCCAATAAACAGCACTGAAGTTTGTGGGCTTCAGTGTGAAAAAAAGTTCAAGATGCATGAATATTTTTCATGCAGTGACCCGTACTGGTAGTGTATACTGGTATCATACTGGTGTTAGATGTGAGACCAGTCCAGAGTTTAGTTGAAAACGACCAGAAAAGCGATGAGGGGAGGAGAGGGGGGTTGTGGGTAACAAAGGCCTCTTTCCGCGAAGCTGCTGACTGTATTCAGGCTCTGCATAGCTGAGCGTCACCATGGCGACCGGAGGAGGGAAACGGGACCGGGCAGCAGAAAAGCCCTGAGAGAGACGAACAAAACAGAAATCACCTCCAAACTCACAGAAAAGACACACAAAAAAGTCTGGACTGACACAGAAAGGCCTGGCTTTACTTGTGGTTCTGGTCCCGGTTGAAGGGTTAAAACCTGATTTAACCCTACAATGTTCCCAATTCACTTTCATTTGCACTTATTGTTTAAATATCTGTTCTGGTACTGCTCCATATCCCGGTTCCTCATGGGTAACTCTTTGCTGCAGTGAAACTTTAACTGCCGAACATCTGCAGCCTGTAATTATGGTTTGGACTGATTCTGTATGTGTGTGTCCCATTGTGTGTGTGTGTGTGTGTGTGTGTGTGTGTGTGTGTGTGTGTGTGTGTGTGTGTGTGTTTTAGTGTTTAACAGGAAAGCATTAGCCAGCTTCTTCCTCTCGGACTTCCTGGGATGTGATTCGTTGTTTTCCCAGCGGTGAGGAATGTGGCGGTTCGCCATGGCTGCCCTCGTTGCGGGGCAGAGGGGTGGGAGAGGGGAGATGGATGTTTCTGTTGTTTAAAAAAAAACTCGGAAAGCTGAATCTTGTTTCTGACATTCAGGATTGTTAATCGTCCTGTGTGTGTGTGTGTGTGTGTGTGTGTGTGTGTGTGTGTGTGTGTGTGTGTGTGTGTAAACCTAGATCATGGAGTCCATAAATCCAAACAAGACCCATACTTTGGGGACCCAATTCCTCTTAGGAACAAAAGTTATTCCTGAAATTTAATTTACATTCAGAAGTGGTTACAGTACCCAAAAATGTACTCAAGCAAGACCAGAACTTCTTCAACGTGATTTTACTTAAATAACGGTCAAAAAGTAGCCGTCCAATAAATGACTCAAGTAAATGTGATCTATCTAAAAGTATTTTGTACAAGGACTACTTAAGTACAGAGTAAGTCAAGATGTCATCACATGAAGAAAAATAAGCTTTTATGTGCATAATTGTGTTATTTGTAAACTGTATATATATATATATATATATATATATATATATATATATGTGTGTGTGTGTGTGTGTGTGTGTGTGTGTGTGTGTGTGTGTGTGTGTGTGTATTTTTCCCCCCAAAATCTTTAAAAAACAACTATAAAACGATTACTTGCTGCAGGTATTGTAAATATTCTGTATTTCACAGGGTGAATCATTTCCAATGCCAAAAAGAAACATCTCAGAAACCACGCTACATGCAAATTCACTAAGAATATGAACATTTTGGTTGAAGAAAGTGGGTCTTTGCTGTTGTTTTTGTATGAATCATGAATTTGTCTCAGGAGACGTTAAAAACTGCAGTAACATTTAAAGTCTGTGGTGCATCTGCATGGTGTTTCCATGTCATTGGTGGTCACAGTAAACATAGGAGCAATGATGTGACCGGCTGATTGGATCTGTTTACAAACTCAACAGATAACCGTGACAACGAGTTTCTGCACACCAGTGTTGTGCTGCTGAATCTGTCCTACTGTAGAATCAGATAAACTGAAGCAACAAACCAAGGATAAAATTATGCCTCTTCTTTATTTAACGTTTCTAGGCAGAAAAACAGAAATCTAAAAGGATTATTTACACGCAGCAGAATATCTAGGAACAGTTTTATTTCTTTAAAGTTAAATGATTGATTTGTAACACAGTGAAAGTTAGGGGGGAAGAATAAGAAGAAAAAATGTAAATTTAATCAGTTTTTTTTATTTAGTAAGATAACTTTGTTTTGTTTGCAGTTGAGAAGCTGCAAGATGTAAAAACTCAACAAAAACATATTTTAAAAGTTCATAACAAAGACAATTAACAGCGGGTCTGTTATCAATCACTTAGGTACTCCTACATTAACTTTGCTGATTTACAGCTATTATGGTTCGGGGGTTTTGCCTTCCAGGTTTTGTCTTTCATATTAGAGGTTAGTTTCTGCCTGAAGTAGAGGACTACAAGTATTTTGGAGCTTTGAACAGTTACAGACTGGAACAAAGAAGGGGTGCTGGAAAAATGGGTTTTTGCCAAACCAAAGTTAAAGATCCAAGATCTTTACATATTTCATTCTGCTCATGCTGCCTGGCGGGGGAGTCGTTCCAGTTCAGATACGAAGACAGTGCACTGCAGCTGGAGGGACCTACGGAGATACTCATCAGTGTCATCACTGGAGAAACAACTACTCAAAGAACAGAAGCAATGGAAAAATAGGATTCACAAAAACAATGCTGTCAACCATGTATGGAAGGCTGAAAGAGTCAAAAAACTAAAATAGATAAATTTAGTTACAACCAAAACACAAAAACCCATGAACCATTTCTCAACTAAAGGGACACCAACTGACTTTCGACTGCTGTCCAGTAGTTTCATTATGTTAAATATTTGTACTGCAAAGGCTGAACTCTCACATGATTCAATTAAATTGTTTATTAGCATCTAAAAACTTTGCATTATATTTTTTTCTCATTGATTGTGGTTATTGTCCCTGTTTTGTCAGTTGACTTGTAGAACATATGTCACATTTAGACCCTTTTCAATTACCTGAAGTGTCCTAATAATATAATATCTACCTACAGGAGCTTCCTTACAGTGGAAGAAAATAAAATACTTATTATTCTGAAAGTGATTTCCTTTGTTGTCTTTACATCTTCTGGATTTCCAGCTGCTAGATTTAAGTTTTTCTTTAAAGGTGACCTATTATGCTTCCTTGGACAGGTTAGGATAGATCTTACAAAACATGTCCATTACTTCATTTTTGCACAAAATCATTCTTTGATAATGAGATGTCAGACTGCTCATTTCTCCTTTCAGAATGAGATATTTTAGGGCATTTTGTCACATTAAATCCAAATAAGCTGCTGGCCACGCCCCCCAACTCAACCTTTACACACGCACATAAAGATGGCTGCAAACAGATGTGCAATTATACAACCGTACATCTTTGAAAAGCATAAGTGGAGCCTCCTGCACAAGCAACAAGAATGCACTAAGTGGTAGCACAATTTTGTCACATTTCAACCATTGTTCAGGCATAAAGAGGTAAAACAAGCTGACAAAACGTCCTGGAGCTCAGCTTGGGTTGCTAGGTAGTGCAGCATCTGTCGATTGTGACTTAACAATCAGGAAGTTTTTGAAATGGCTCATCTTCCAGACACCAAAGGATATAAACTTTTCTTTTAAATGGCTCTGTTTTGTGTGTGTGTGTGTGTGTGTGTGTGTGTGTGTGTGTGTGTGTGTGTGTGTGTGTGTGTGTGTGTGTGTGTGTGTGTTTCCAAACGTTTGTGCTGTTATTAGCAGCAGTTGAAACCCAAATGGAAGAATAAAAACATTCAAAAAGTGAAATTTGCTCAGTAGGTCCCCTTTAGACTCTCAGCTGTAATTATTGCCGGATAATATTAAGTTTTTGCCTTAATTTTTTTTCCAATGTCCAACTTTTTTCTCTCAGTTTTGATTTAACTCAGTATACCTTTGCAGGATTTTGAATTTTAATGAATTAATTCTTCAA